ATTCATGCGCACCATGAAGAAAACAATGGAACTAGATAACGGTGATTATAAACAAGTACCAAGGTACTTGAAATCCAAAATTTGCTAGAAGAAACTTGATCTTCACACAACTTTTGAGGAGTGATGGCATCTTGGGGTCCCTCTAATTCAAGAATTGGTTTAAACGCGCGCCTCTTATTGAACAGAATTGGCATGTGCGGTCGAGCATTCAAATCACCGACAAGGCCTCACAACTTTTGAAAGGCATGGAGGTTGGCAACCATACCATCGTCACAATTCACATTTACTGTAATTTGCAAAGTTATTAGCACCCAATGAAATGCGAAATTCAAATGTTCGAAAGAAATTATGGTATCAAGCACTCTTGGAAACAAAGGCAGACAAAAATAGTTTTTGTTAAAATAAAGGTTTCGTGCACTATGGTAAGAGGGGGGGGGTGCAAAGTGATAGAAAAGAAACGTTTGATTGTTTGTGTACAATTCACACTATGCTTGCACAGGCTGTGCTACTAATACCCGGATTACCTGAGTCAAATACATTATATCTATAAAGAAAGCCTCCAAGTATCAAATTAACAAAGCAATCGAAGACCAATTACACATCGAGCAATTCCATGCGTTTCAACATTCCTGAAAGCGCCTAGTTATCGACGCACCGCGAAGTTGAGAAAACAATTACAGGCATGCAATGATGGTAATGCTTGTTTATATCAAGGTAAAACAATATTTGCTAATAATCATCCATTCATCCTTGAAAAACATTTAATTAAATTGTTCAAGTGCACTAGTACGATTAGCACTAACGTGTACACAAGTCGAGTTGAAGTAGAATAAATTTTCACTAAGGCACAGAGAAGTTATTCACGCCACTCATTACTTTGTGCCCATAAAGAAATATCCGTGGATCCAGCCCAAAGGGTCATTGGATATTGATAGTCTCTACATGTTTAAACATCCAAAGAAGTGTGCATTGTAAAGTCAAGGGAGAAATTTATTTGAATTTAAAAGTGGCCGATGATCGATGCAAAACATTTGAAAATAGACGCACAAACTGGAAGGCGGCGAGTTATATAATGCCTACGAAGAGTTCATGCTGGAAATTTTTCCATCAAACTATTCAAAGAAACTTTTCTCACCAATTAACATTTGTCAAGAAAAGAGCCGAGGAACTAATTAGCAGGGTGATTTAAAGCAAATTTTCAACAGCAAACGATGTTGTGAAATACAGATGTTCTGGAAAGGCGCAAGTCAGCAGTACGTTGCAAAACTTCAGTAATCGATCTTCATTCGAAGACATTAATCGATTAACCATGGGTCATAACAAAATTAGAGTAGCTTCTCTGTCATCTCTTTAATACTTTCCACTACTTCCAATACTTCGGGGTGTGCGATAGACTTACCTCCACGTGGTATACCCTGGGCAACTTATACTCATACGGCAAAAAGTCTATTAACTGACAGTTGACTTCTGACTTCAAACTACCATGACCCCACTGTATGTCATACTCCACCAATTTCACAGTTCTCATCTCATCTTTTTTATACCTTTGTGTCCCTCTGTCTCCTTTACATCTTTTAATCTCTCTTCCATTCCCCCCTCTCGACTTTTTTTCACTTTGATGTCCCTCCTCACCTCTGTGAAGCCTGAAGTCAACTAAAGGGCTAATGATAACCATTCTGTGAAGCCTGAAGTCAGCTAAACGGCTTATGATAACTATAGCCTGAAGTCAACTAAAGGGCTAATGATAACTACCAAAACGCCTGCCATTTGATATAAATAAAAAAAATAACTTCCAATATTTCTCCTTGTTTCACCCTAATAAATGACATTTTAGATCTATCTGACTACCGATCTAGACCTTTATCTTCGCGTTCTGTGAGCGCCTTCTTTATTACGAATCTTCTCAATTGTACCGATTTGCAAGAGTACCGCTGAAACATCTAGCTTGTTAGGTCATGAAAGTTGGCTTAACCCTTCATAAGCGTGAAAATAGTCAAGTAGGGAATAATTAAGGACAGAAAATAGAACGTAATTGAGGGTCTTTTTTAAACCTAGAAGTGATTTAATCCTTCAACCAATTAAAACAGCGACTAAAAGTGAACTAAAAACCTTAAAAGGGGGTATTTTAATGAAAGCGGAATTTGGTGAATTTTCGGATCCCACTGTCAGCAAATTGAAAGAATAGGACTTTAATCGAAGTCTAAACGCCGTGGAATTTCAACTCTTAAATGAAAAAATACATTCATTCATTCATTCAACTTCCACCGACCGCCTAACCCCAAAGCAATCCGAATTAAACCAAACTGTATTCGAAAACATTTCCTTAACTCCCTGTTCCCTCTCTGCAAACAAACAAAACTAGAAAAATTCGCTGGCAAATGCTTAAATCCTTTTGATGGCAAAACGGCGCCATTGCCAAGGAAAATGTACACCACGAGTATATTTGCCTTACAGAGAAAAGCCTTTAAAATGGTAGTTGAGGCAAAAAAAAGCGATGACAGATCCAAGAAACTCCAGGTGGAAAAATGGTGAAATCAAATAGACATTTCGGGGTAGAAAAGCGCCAGTAGTAGTATCAAAGTCTTCATATCACTTCAATCATAGGAGCCATGCCTCTGGAAACGGATTTTATTATAAGTTATTAATTGTTATTGATTTAATTAAAGCTTGTTGAAAGCTTGCGCAAAGCCCTTATTTAAGGGGAGTATTGGGAGACAAAAGCCATACTGGAGGTTTCTCTCGTTTCTAGGATGTTCCCATCATTAAGCCACTGTCCGCATAACTGGAAATGGTTCAATAACCAAACATCTCACGTCAATAAAATGTAAATTCCAGTGTATCCAAAGTCAAAAAAAGCTTAGAAGTGTCTCAATATGACTTTTCAAGCATTTGGTGCAAGATTAGATGAGAGCAAGAGGTTTGTTTGTAGCACAGCAATTACTGGATAACGAATGAGACTAAAAGTAATTATGGTGTCAGAAAGTGAGAGGGTTATTGACGTGATTAGCCGATCTAGATCACCAACTTAAGTGGCTACACTACGTTTAAGGTGAAGACTAATGAGACGCAAAATAAATCGTTGTATGCAAATGAGAAATAGGCACAAGATTTCCCCAGTAGATTTTAAAATCACAAAGTGGAAAGACGGGTTGAAGGAAGCCGGATACAAAATGGGATACTTCAAGATCTGAAAATCACCACGTTTGCTCGGAAATTGAATTTAAATGCAAAACAAGATGAGGCAAAGCGACACTCGGAAAACGTTCCTATGCTTAACTCATAAGCACAGCACTTGGTTTAAAATGACACTTTTAAAGGGAGAAATTGCGAGAGCATGGTAAAGAGGATTGAGGAAAGTATTTAGCGATTAAATAAAAAAATCATTAATGAAATTAAAGGAGAGAAGAAAAGCACTACCACGAACATTATTAATATAAATGTTGCCATTTTTGATAATACATGGAAGAAGAAAAAAAACCGTGAAATACACACTTTGAAATTAATGTCATCGCACTCATTGAATCCCTAAAACTGCACGATTTCATAACCCCCCCCCCTCCAAATGTGATTGTCATCTTTGCCTCTTTTATCGATTGTGTCTCACTTACCACTTGCCATCACACCTCTCAAATGACATGGACAAAGAAGCAAAATCCCCCAGGAAAAGGAAAAAATATAAATGGTGGTGTACAAGAAGGCCTATTCGCAAGCTGCCTAAAGAGGGATCGGAAATGGTGAATTTTCAAGTAAATCGAGGAGATAAGAGCGGAATGTGCAAATAAAATGGAAGAATCAATATATGTACTCGATGGTTGATTAGGGGGGGGGGGGAGGGGTGATACACAATTGTCAAATAGACAAAATGACAAATGCAATGAAAACAGAAAGTGAGAGTTGAGAGGAAAGCATGAGGTGGTGTCTAGACTTTGGAGGGGAAGAATTCGACAAAATTGACAAAAAGTGAGAGAGAGATTAAAGTGAGACCCAACGCAAATATGCCTAGATATTGCACAACTGTTTCCCCCTCTTTTCTTCAACTATCCAAATGCATCTCCTGATAAGCGTAGTAGAAAACGGACGAATAGAGCCTAAAGCCATATCAGATGAAAGACAAAGCTGTGGTCTAATGAAAATTTATACATAAAAAAGACGGCTTTAACTGCGAAATCAAAAGTTAAAACCAATTCTACGATCTCAGCCGAGCATGGAAAACGAACACCTGGAGAGCATCAAGATTTCCCACCGATTTAAAATCGTCTATTTTTTGCCTAGTTATTTCGTCCATTGTTAAAGAATTATGTAATGCAGGCACTTTCTGCGTTTTGAACACCAAATGTAAGGCAAAATTGGAATCAAATTACTACATTAAACACAATAGAAATTGACAATTAAAAAGGAAACAAGAGAAAGTTCCTCCTGTTTTATAAGAACCACAGTCATAACCTCTCTTCCATGTCATGCCTTTCAACTATTGAACAAAGACTTGCCACATCTCGCTTTAAAAGCTAATCACTTTCTTTAAGGTTTTTTATTATTTTCAAATTTGAATAGAAAAGTAACAATATCAACCTGAATCAAGCAAAGCAAATTAAATAACTGAAGTAAGTATGGAGTTCAGATCGATTTATCACAGGAAATTGTTCTTTTATGAATATGATATCCGGTACCTATTGTGCAAGAAGGAGCATTTATTTTGCGTCCCTAATATACTGCAAACTAATTAAGGCGAAAGCAGTAGTACCAGTCCAGACCTAGAAAGGAGGAAAATTTCCCAAAGGATTCTTTGGGAAATGTACTACACATCACCTTTCTATGTCATGATTTTCCCGGTGGAAATAATGACACGCCGAGTCGTATTTGAGTCGACTTTTCCAGTTAGGCTAATGCTAGTAGGGGGTAGGAGGGGGGGAGGAGGGGG